CTAACGTCTTTTAATGAAAATGCGTTTCAACACAGATATGGCCTCCAGATAGAAATACAAAACCAGTTGAAGGGTCAAAACACCAAGGAAAAGGAAAATTGCTAAAATAAAGGTAAGGTTACAAATATTTTAGGTTAGGCAGAAGGAAACAACAAACGCATTAGATGATTCTTGTGAAACAGACATTCCAGCTCTGAAAAAATTGTTTTAGATGACTTTGGCAAGAAGGGAAATAAAAGTAGTTCATGTTAGGATAAATTATATGTTCATTATGCTTACCTTGGCTCAAATTAATAATCCTAATAATAATTCTGTTTCACTGATAATAATCATTAATCTTGATTTAGACCTGCTAGGCAATGTCCTAGACATTTTACATGCTTCATTTCATTTAATTAAAAAGAAAATCTATGGGGAAGATATTATCAACATTCCCATTTTATAGACTAGGCAACTGAGGCACAGAGGCATTAATGAAATTGCTAGAAAGTGAATGAGATGGCTTTTGCTAAGCATGTTTATCTACATTTAGTAAACTGTGTCAAGGGGCATTGTGTATTGAGATTTAATGGGGGAAAACCCTCCGTTTCTATTCTTTACATTAAAAGAAAATCTAAGTTGTTGAATTTTCTGAAATCAAAATTTGCCATATTCGGTTTTATTTCTTCACTGTATCGTGAGGTAGTTACACTTTCTTTGTGAAGAAGGCAAGATGAACACATTCCATTCCTCTCATTCTCTCTCTTCCAGCATTTCTTACTCCGCTGTAGTAACGGCCTCAGAAAGCAGGGCAATTTGGATCAGTTTGTAAAGGAGGCACAAGAAAACGCTAAATCAACGTTATCAATTTTGGTGCAGAGAGCAAAGTGAAGTAGGCCCTTTGCCCTCTTGAATAGTTTAATCTCTAAACTTTTGATCAGAGTATTGGGCTCAATATTCTCTCTCCCCTAATTCTGTATTAATACCCATTCTGGTCAACTTTTCACATGTGGGCTATATAGCATGTCATGGCAAGGAGAATTGTGGACTTAAATTATATCATCTATAGAGTTTGGACACTCCCTATATACCCTGAGGGTGGTATGAATCGCTTCTAATTTCATGGCAAAGGAAAAGGAACATCCATGTCATTAACTGATGGTATTGGTTTTGAGAGCCAGAAATCCCTACTCTCCACCAACTCATTCAGCACAGCAGCCCATTTGATCCCAGGCACAATGTATTCCTGTGAGTTTCTACTGCCTCTTATAGAAAGTGCTGACTGTGGAGAAACTTGATCAAAACATCAAAGATTACAAGAGAAGCTGCGTTTGTGCCCTTCACAACCATTGATGAAGTACCTTAGCCTCGCCTTCTCTCGATGCCTTGCATATGGTCGTCTGTCTTCCTGACTACTACTTCATATGGCTTATTTGTAAATTCAAGCAAATGTGCTTCTGACTGGCACTGATACATCACTGATGCCAAAATATCAGAGAGGATGAAGCATAAGGACATATTTTTTGATTCACATGGAAAATAGTACAGATTTATGGGGAAGTGATGACAATAGCCATTCCATGATATCTTCATATAATCAGTATCTTTCCATGCCTCCCTTCACTAAATTTTATGACCTCAAAACTTATTTAAAGGAATTACTCTCTTGCTGACCCAAAAGACATGGTGAGTAGGTGTGGGGATGGGGCTGGTTGCCTGAACAACCTAGCTCTGTCTTTTCACATGCTGAATTTCCAGTTTTCCAATGACCACTTACAGAGCTGTGATGCACAGAACGTCTACTGATGTCCCATTGATATTGATGTGATTTCCCCCAGTGCATTGAGAGCAGCACAGCACACAACCATTAGTATCTAAAGGTTATGTATAATGGCTAAGAGAGGAAAATGAAAGAGCAGAAAGGAATTTGCACGGGAAACAGAAGCAGTAAATAAATAGTTTCAGTGTAAGATCTTACTTGGGTTATACAGCAACTGCAAAGGGGGATTGGAAAAAAACGATGACTCAGACTCAGTAAGAGTGGAGAGTGAAACAGTTTCATATTTTGAAATGTAATACTTTTTTACTTCAACCGCAGAAAGCCATTTGAAAATCATCTTGTATGTTACAGTTCTTATGTGACATCTTTCACCCACATACCTACTGATAAATTCTTATTCTACCTTCCTGAGGTCGTTAGCAATACAGGACAGATGGGGTAAATTGAGGAAGGGATTCTAACGGGCTTATCCAAAGTCACACAACGTTCAGGTCATGACAGAACTTGGGAAATAGTTATGGTGTTAGCCATTAACCTCTCATTTTGAACCCATTCAACCCACTGTGCTACAGCATTTAGCCTGATATTTCTACATCTAAAAAAATCACACAATAAATGATTTCAATGGATACCTCTCACCAATCAACAAAGCTTAGCTGCATACATGGTTGCAGTTGATGACCTGGTAAATGTAATTTACTTTGTAATTTAATAAGAAAAAAATGGTCTGGTGGATTTATTTAGTAGACCAAGGAGTACGTGAGCTGCAGCAAGACCTAGTGCTGAAGAGCATGTGCTCTGGAGTCAGTCCATTCTGGCTTAAAGCTCGGGATCCCCACTTCTCAGGGATGCAACCTCTTAATCTCAAAATGACCCTTATGGGACCTCTTCTCTTTGCTGTGCCTCAGTTTACTCATTTCTATACCACATATAATACTGAGACCTGCCCTTAAGGATTGTGAGAATTAAATGAGCTAACAAGTAAAATGCTTTGCATTAGTCATTTTTGTCAACAAAGTTTCCTGATAGGATTGTTATGTGCCAGGCACTGATCTTGGTGCTCGGATACAGCCGTGAACAAAATGGTTAATTCTGAGAAACACTGAGTTTTAATAGTGAATAGTTATAAAGAGAATGATGATAACAACAACAATAATAATATTTAACATTTATAGTATACTTACTATGTTTTGGGTACTATTCCAAGTTCTTTAGTTATATTAACTCATTTAATTCTCATAACAACTCTATGTTATAGGTACTGTTTTAGGCGCATTTAACAGATGAGGAAATGGAGGGCTTTAAAGGTTAAATAATTTGCCCAAGGTACCATGCCTAATAAGGAGCAGAGGTCTGAAAATCCATGTTCATAATGACCACACTATATTACCTTACTGTCATGTCAAAATCATATTCTATTGTTCACCCTATAAAAAAGGGCAGACTTTCAAATGACTGAAACGTTCTATTTTCACTTATGAAATGAATAAATATATAAACTAAATAAACAAGTCTCAGAGTATATAATACAAGTTTTGATACCAGAGTGGCCATTATAATAAATCTAAATGGAAATAGGCTAAGACACCATCTAAACCTATTAATAAAGAGTTTGCTGTTATCTGGATTTGTTTATAACAGGGGTTAAGTCTTATATCTAAAACATTATCTCTCTACATAGTAACAGTTAATAGAAGATAACCCATAAGATAAGAGTTTGTCTCATAATTGAACAAGAACATTTAAAAGGGCCTCCAATGTATTTAAACTTCTCAAATTACTCCTTGTTTTGAATGATTCATATTAAAACTGTGTTTGTATTACAGTACTTTCTCATCCCCTACCTTCATTCCTTCAGCATTATTTATCATTACAGGCTATTACAAACCAAATAAACATACATGTTGGGTTATACTAAAATGTTTGAGATAAGAGACACATTTTTGATATTGTAGGTAATGTTATCCACATTTAATAGAAGCATTGTTCAAATGTATTCAGACTGTACGATAAACATATAAAAGAGATAATTATGAACATCAATATAGGCTATGATCCATACTGTTGACATTATCAGTGACTTCCCTACAAAATAAATCTATTAACTTAGCAGCCCCTGTTCTATGACTCCCATAAAACCAGTTATGGGAAATTTCTTATTGTTCACATTTTGAATAAATCAGAATACACCAAACTTCCTTTATTATTTATAATTATAAGAAAGTCTAAATCTGTTTTAATCTACTTATCAGAATCATATTCATTGTATCCTCATGGGTAATTCTGCTTCAATTATGAAACAGGGTTAAACCTGAAAAGAAGTTACTGGTGCCATACCTGGATAGAATTTTTTTTTTCTACCATGATATTCCATTCATTCTAGGAACAGTGCTTCCACAAAGTACATGTTTCTTAAGTTAATTTACATTTTAGACTGCAGAACCACTCAAGCAAGGAAATTAATGTTCAGTCAAAATAAAATGCCATCCAGAAAAATCAATACAATTTGCTATCAAGTGAGGGTGACTTTAATCAGAGTGACTCTAGAACAATATTTTTCTTAAACGTGTTGAAAGAGTGCTTCGCAACTGTTTTCTCCTTTACCTCCCCAAACATAGTATCCATATAATTCCACAGCCACTTACCTTGTGAAAATAAGAATACATCTTTTTTTTAAATCCCAGTGTAAAATTGAATTCTTGGGGAGAAATTATGCACTGGATTTTCTGATAGCTTCCAAATAACTACTACTTTAATGAAATTGCTACCTGAAAATCTGGTAGCAGTATTACTGTTTAACTATAATTTAAGAAGGTATTGTAGATTGGTACTTATGACTTCTAGTGAGAAAACCATAACAACCTTTTAATTGAAGGGAAAATGGTTAACTACAGTAATTGCAATCAATAAGACTGTGTTAGTATAAATATTTCTTCTCAAAGAGCATTCCTCACTCTCCTCAGCAGTATTTAAGGGTAGGAAGTGCAAAAAAAAAACCCCCAAAAAACCTTCCTTAGAAATCCATTTGTTATTTATAATACTAAGCCTTGGTTCAAATTTTAGGTTCCAGAGTTAAGAGAGAATCTTCCCCTCCCCCAACCTCCACCACAAGCAAAACACCACCACATCAAAAACTAATGATGTATTGTATGGTGACTAACATAACATAATAAAATAAAAAAATAGAATTGTTGAAAAGACTTTGATTAAGAAGAAAACAGGCATGGAAAAAAGGGCTTACCAATCACATAGGCTAGCAACAAGGCCAAAGTCACCGTGATTGCAGTGGCGCTCAAGGCCGTGCACTTCCAGTTGCAGCACCTGTAAGGTTTGTTAAAGGTAAAGGCAGGTCTGGAAAAGGTGCTTCGAGGAAGTGGCCTGGGAGGAGGCGAGTACACAGTATTGGACGTCAGCGGGTAGTTCTGACTGGCCGCACTGAAGATAGCAGAGGAACCAGACCCATGTTTAAACAGGAAATGCCTGCAAAAAGGAAACAAACAGTAGAGCTGTAAAAACCAAAGCCAGCACTGGGTGTTATACGCAAGTGATGGACTCTTGAATACTACATCTGAAACCAATGATGTACTATATGTTGGCTAATTGAATTTAAATAAAAAAGAAGCCAATTGTTACAAAAGCACAAACTCCACTCATTTCCAACAATCACACTTTGACAAAGCTCAGGAAAACTGGCAGAGTCTCAAAATTTTCATATACCTAAGATTTAATTCCAAATTGCCTTTGGTGGTCTCCTTTTGTTTTCTCATTTAGACCTTTAGGAGGCAGAAAGAGATCCTCTGTTCCCTGACTTGCTGGCTAGTGAATTTCTCAGACTCTCGAGTGCTGACATTCACATTTGATGTTATTCGTTATCCTGCTCCTTTTCATTAAATATGATACTCAAGAGTTGATTCAAGAACAAACGAAAAGTATCATCAGGCATTTTTGAAATCTGAATGGTCTAGAAACCAGTATATTTACTTAAGAGATTAGCTTTCACAGACATATTTTCAAGCAATATTCTATTATAAAAATTGTCAAACATACAGCCAAGTTGAAAGGATTTTATGCAAACACACATACTTACCAAGTAGATGCTACAGTTAACATACGACTATATTAACTTTATCACATATTTATCCATCTCTCCATTCCTGTCTTCATCCATCAGTCCATCTTAGTTTTCAAGCGTTTCAAAGTAAATTGCATACATCAGTATACTTCCCTTCCCTTTTAACTTGCATATTATCTAGAGTTCAATATTTTTAAATGTAAAATTTATACATGACGAGTTGAACTCTTAGATTTCACATATAAGTGGTATCATACTGTATTTGTCTTTCTCTTTCTGACTTATCTCACTTAGCATAATGCCCTCAAGGTCCATCCATGAACCCATAAAAACAGAGAACAGAAAGGTGGTAACCAGGGGCTGCGAGGTCAGAGAATAGGAAAGATGTTTAAGGGTATAAACTTGCAACTAGTAGAGAAGTAAGTCCTGAAGATCTAATGTACAGTACAGTCATTATAGACAACTGTATTGTATTATCATCATCAAGCTCACTAATAGAGATTTTAATTATTCCCACCACAAAGAAGAAATGATAACTATGTGACATCATAAAGGTGTTAACTAATGCTACAATGGCAATCACGTTGCAATATATAAATGTATCAAATCAACATGCTGTACACTTGAAATTTACATGTTATATGTATGTTTCAATAAAAAATTATACATGATGAAATGCACAAATTTTAAGTATACATTTGCTGAGATTTGACAAATGCAATCATCTGTGCAACATAAATCCTTATCAAGATACAGAACATTCCCATCACCCCAGGAAGTTTCCTCCTGCCTTTCTAAGTAAATCCCTACTCTGCTTCTCCCAGGTGACCACTATTTAGCATTTTTTCTACCATGCATTAGTTTTGCCTGTTCTAGCACTTCATGCTGCTGTCATGTCTGAATTACTATAGGATGATTACTGACTGCTCATGACTACTGCAATATGGATATTTCATAAACAGTACTGATTTATGGACATGGAAGGAGCTACCAAAAACAAATACATTAAAGTATGTTTTGGTGCATATAATTTACACTTACTGAGTGCTATGTGCCATGCATTGTGTTAAACACATAATCTCAGCTAGTCTTTGCTCATATGAGATAGGCTATATTATTATCCTCATTGTGCATTTAAGGAAATGGAGGCCTAAAGAGGTTTAAAAAAACTTGCCTACATCTTCCTAGTACATGAATGACAGAGCCAGAATAGGAATCCAGGTCACTCTGGCTCCAAAATCCTTAATCTTAACCTCTCCCTGTGCTGCCTGGAGCAGTAAAATGCACTGCTAAGTAGAACACATTCTGGTGCTACATTTTAATGTACTACAACATGAACCCCTCCACTAAATAGAAAGCCATAATCACCTTGTCACATATGACCAAATTTATAAATCGTTAAGACTATTTTAAGTCTGATTTCCAACTTCCACTTTTAAAGAACAAAAGCCTGGATGTTTAGAGGAAAAAACAACTGTTTAATCTGCCATTTAATGAAAAATCTCCACATTAGAGAATTTTGCATTAGTATCATGAGGGTAAAGGTTATTTAAAGGGCAGGATTGTTGAGAGTAGTACACATTCACAAGCCTTTCTGGAGGGCGACTTGTTATTAGTATCAGAAGACTTTAAATATGCATATTCTTTGCCGAATAATTACGCTTACAGGAATTTATCCTTAGGAAATTATGTGTCTGACAATGTATATAACAAGTCGTTCATTGCAGTGTTACTTGTAATAGCACAAAATAAACACCCAAGTGCTCAATAATAGGTACTTGGTTAAGTAAATTATTTTACAAACACATAGTAGAATACTATACAACCATTACAAATTGTACTGTAAAAGAAGATCTATTCACTAGGAAGTGTTTAAAGATATCACCAAGTGAAGAAAGGTAGGCTTCAAAACAGTATGGGTAATAGGATACAATTTTTTTTAGAGATTTCATTTATTTATTTGAAAGAGAGAGAGCACACGCACAGACAGAAAGGGAGAAGCAGACTCCCCGCTGAGCAGAGAGCCTGATGCGGGACTCGATCCCAGGACCCTGGGATCGTGACCTGAGCCAAAGGCAGATGCTTAACCGACTGAACCACCCAGGTGCCCCAAGATACAATTTTTAAAATAAAAAAATATATATGCTCATGTAAAAATAGTAACTTGTGTTACCTTTGGGTATTTTTTTGAAGTTTTCTGCCTTGAGCTTGTATTACCTTTGTAACAAGTATCAAAAAGAAGGGAGGTGGGGTGAATGGAAAAAATGCACTGTTTAACACCAACCATATGCAGAGTTGGTTCTGTTTATGTGAACATGATTTATTGAGCACCTATAAAGTCTAGGCACCAGGCACTTTATGTGCAATATTTTGATGCTCATACATCTGTGAGGTTTAAACTATTATTCTAATCTTACAGATGATGAAACAGAGACCAAAAGAGGTTTTTAGCAGGAATAAAGTGGTGATAATAGTAGTTATAATAATGATAAGTGCTCACTTGTGCTGGGCATTGTTCTAAGTAATTAATAAACTATTATATCATTTAATCCTCACAACAACCCCATTAAAATAAATATCTCCATTTACAGATGAGAAAACCAATGCACAGAGAGGTCAAGTTGTCTGTGGTCCCCACAGCTAGTAACTGGTGGAGCTGAGTTTCAAACACAAGCAGGCTGGCTCCAGAGCCATTGCTCTAAACCACAACATTACAGTGCACTCTGCTAGGATGAGGCAGGTCGTGGATACATTAAAATATGAATGCAGACCTGCTAGGGCACAGAAGAAGCACGTGGGTAATACTGAACTGAGCCACATTTACCCTGTTTCCCTTGGGAAAAATGACAAACATGAAAACGATGGCTAAAGAATCACAGAGTTGGAAGAAGAGATCTCAGTAATCATCTAATAGCCCAACACCCTGATTTTGCAGTTAGGGAAACTGAGGTCCAGAAAATGAAATGGACTACCTAAAAGTAACATAGGTACTTAATGGTATAAATGAACTTGGAATCAGGGACTTCCAAAAGAATGTATTTCCTCTGCCCTAGGCGACCTGCCAACCAGTCTTCACCGAACTACCACCAGGTTCTAAGCTCCTGGGTTAACTGATCCAGGCTAAACAAATATAATCCCTTCAAACAGTACTACATAATACTTGTCTATTCTTCCGAATGTCACATGTTCTTATAGTAAGTTTTAAAGACCATCTTAACTATTTTGGATGAATGGGGAAGCATTACAATGAAGCTACTCTTCAGTTGTTAAGAAGGTAAGGGAGTTATTGCTGCTTCTAAAAGTACCTAACGTATCCTCAGAATGGAGAAAGAGTATATAGCAGAAATAAGGATAAATATACCAAAAAAGTGACTCGCAGCATTATGCTTCTTCCATTTAATTGTACTTGCTATTTATTTATTTATTTATTTATTTATTTATTTGAGAGAGAGAGAGAGAGAGAGAGAGAGATAGTGAGAGAACACAAGCAGGGGGGAGAGGGAGAAGCAGGCTCTCCACTGAGCAGGGAGCCTGACGTGGGGCTTGATCCCGGGATCCTGGTATCATGATCTGAGCCAAAGGCAGACGCTTAACCGACTGAGCCACCCAGGTACTTCCTCTTTAGTCCCTGAGACGGTCTCTTCCATTTATAAGGAGGTGAATTTCTTCTTTACCATCTGGTTAGCGCTCCCAGCCTATGTTTCCCCCGCTAGCTATCTAATTTACTAGTGAGCAAGACATATAGCGCTTTACGGACAGCAGAGTGGAGCAGCCTCCCCATTTCCTTACCACCACCTGGCGGTTACTCTGGACGTGACAAAATGTCACTTAGGTATAACCAGTCCTGCACAGGGACACCCTGGTATGTTCCTGTGGGATAAAAGGGAAACCCAGCAGTATGGGGTGCTTTTTGCCCAGTGATTGGAGATAAAATCTTTGATCCTTTGCATATTTATGAAGGAGAACAATCGGATTTTCGAGACAATGTAAGTGGCCCCATATGTTGGATATTGATTTGGTTTGGTATATCATTAAGGGGGAGAAGAAAGACAAAGAAAGAGAATTGTTGGCTATTATGATGGCAATTACAAGCAATAATCAATATCCCTGAGCACTGTAATTTCATCGTGATATACACTAAAGGATTTCCAAATGCAGTTTCATAAGTAAAATATTACAGCATAATGAATAAATTCAGCAGTCGCAGCAGAGCAACATTTAAACTAATTCATATTTGAGTGGAATCCAAATCACAGTCCTCAGTGAGGGTAGATAATAAAATGAGTTCATATACTAAGGTTCTTGTTTTCTTATTAACAAGCTGAGATTAAGATTCTATGCTCAAGTGATCTATACTTTGATGTGGATCATGAAAAACAGCACTGCAAATGCTATGTATTGTCAAAGG